CCGTGCATTCATGATTGAAACAAAACACATTACCTGTCAGGGATTACAAGTATTGAAGATATCCTGGTAATGTTGCTTTTATATACCAACTGGTTATTACATCAAAATAACTTAGAGCTGCTGTTATTTTAGAATTGAAGCCATCAGTTCAACAGTAAACATAAACTGTGAATATATCTACTATGCAGAAAACTGTAATGAAAATAGTAAATAAATTATAGACCTGATGTACGCGTTTATTTGTGAGATACACACAAATTAATTAATTATAAAATAAAAACAAAATACGTTTGTGTCATCTCTTTAAGTTAACCCATCAATCGTAAAGAATTTTGTTATACCTAATTTTGAATTTACAATAATATCTTTTTCTTTGTTGTAATATAGTGCTTGTCAATAACTGACTACAACAAAAACAGACGGTATTCTAAAATTTTACAAGTGGAGTTAAGGATTATTAGTTGTTAATCCTTCACATCTAATAAAGTAGTAATGAGGCGAAAACTGTCAGTTCAACTGATTGTTATTAATGTTATATGTAAAAATGAAATATTCATAGTATATGTTGTTACATATTGCTCTACCTTTAGGCCAAAGTTAGGAAAAATACCTTTGAAGGGAAATAATGAATATTAAGAAAAATTTTAAAACACCTCAATGATTTTATCAATTAATTAATTATTCAAATAACAGATGGCGCTAGCAATAGAATCTTATATATTGTTAACGTTTTATCCCCATTAATTGATTTACCACCATTAGTAATGTACTCGTATATAATTGAATTAAATAATATGACTTACATAACGACTACATGACACAATTATCTGAGATAAATACCCAATGACATCCGATGTCAACTGTACTCCATAAAAAATAATTAAAACCAGATAATCTACAAACGTTGCAACAATTAGGCCTGTCTTTCAATCGAGCGAAGATTCTACCAGTGATCTCATTCCGATCCAGAAATCCAATGATTTATCGTCAGATTACGTTGTCGATAGGGTGACGCAAGTATCCATCCGCCCGTGACTGTCGAACACTCCTTGATGACTGGTGCGTATGAACAGTACACAAAGTGGCCTATTTCTGATGGTACTGATGAAAATGGTGTCGCAGATGCCATTCATGAATTTCATTAAAAAAATAAACAATAACACTAAAAGTATGTTATATAAATAAATGTTATGTTATATAAATAAATAAACAATAACACTAGTAGTATGATATGATAGCTTTAGAGCTTTGTTCCAATATGTAGTTGATATCAAACAACATTTTGGCTATTCTTGCCGTCCTATTTGTGTTGTACTTTTTTATGAGAATTTCTATAAATCTAATGCATCCTCTTAAATAAAATTGAATCGAACGTTACAGTATTTTTAAATGTATTAATAATTACTTTGTATATAGCGAAGCATTCCGAAATGTTAAGTTTTAAAACTTTATACTTATTTTATCGCATTTATAACCCACAACACAGTACATAAGTTTCAATGTAATTTTTTTTGGGTTATAAATGCATTTAAGAAATTGTAATATTTGTATGAATTGAGGTTTTTGTGACTACAATTGAGACATTTTATTTCTTATCTTCTTCTACTTGTTAATGTGTATTCACGCAAAATAATAGATTTAAAACTTTCTACTTCAATATAAAATGAACAATAGTTCAGTATTCTCTCCATTTTGCTGCTTTGGGAATTACGAAATAGAATATAACTAAAAATTCCTTTAATATTAGAATTACCATAGGATTACAATTGTATTTACTTTTGACTTGCTTTTACTGTACTCCTGTGCAGTTATCCAAATTAAGTGTTTATTGCAGCAATTAAAACATTGATTAGTATCTAGTGATTCTCGTTTAACAACTATTAGATTGTTATCACTCTGAGTGTATCATAGATCTTAGAGAATACATTGTAGATCTGTATCACTTTTCCGTCGTAACATCAATTTGTTTCATGTCTTGCCTCTAGGCCATTATTAGTTGAGTATATTTACGCAAATTGTTAAGTATCAGTATTAATATGTCAATCTACTGCAATTTAAGAGGAAATAATTGAATGCAATTAAATTTATTACACTTTTTTTTAATTTATTGTCTTTGATGAAATTGATTGACGGAAATTAACAACACATAAATTTAGAGTAAAATATTATTTATATATAAAAAGATACTTTATTTGTAAAAAAAATATATACCGAATTAGTTATTGATTACTTTAATTAAATTAAATATAATTAGTTATTAGTTAGTTATTTAAAACTTTTTGATCATATCTTCATTACCTTGGCATTTCAAAATTGAAAATAATTTTGCCTCAATTTAGACATAAAGAATACTATTTATATACATCATTACTACCAAGTAATTGGAGGGAAGGGAATTGGTAGTAATCTGGATTAATAACCCCATTGCTAGCATTGTATCATCTCCACGAGGTTCCCGCTGGAAAACATAATGTAAAATACCTGATGAAATTGCCATCTCTGACCTCTAGTACTCAGCTTATCATACTCTACCAGTGCCCCGCTACCGTATACAATTAGCACAGACGTGTGCACAATTCCTTTATTATTCCTTAAAAAAATATGACTATTGGCCCATTACTAGGAACATATTCTATAACGATTTTATACGCGCCTTCACGGAAATTTACCCATGGAAATCAGGGTGGTAAATATCAGGTGATTTGGCCATAATGTGCTGACTGGCCTGACTTCTTCCCATTCTATCGTGACCATCATAACGTATACAGCGCATGACAGGGAGATAACAATATCATTTTATTTAAGGGCTGAAATCATCAATTTAAAAGAAATACATAGATAAACTGATCTAATTCCTATTACATTATTGGTAATAATGAATAATTTTATTCTATTACTAAAAATATATCTTACTTAAATATTCAATAAGAAATCAAGTCAAACATAGAAACTTGAATAATATCAAGTGATCACTAAGCAAGTAATCACTACGTAGAGATGATTGGGCAAATTGTGTTGACAACCGTATTAGATAAATTAGCATGAATTCATATTTGGATACAATTGTGCTCCAAATGACGTAGATACTTATGTTGTACTTCCTTAATATTTATGTAATCTGGACTCATATTTTCTTGGTATTATTTCATTGTATAAATACAGCAATAAAAAATAAGTAGGTACTGGTAACAATATAACTATTATATATTTTTTACTCAGTAATATTCAAAAGAATACCAAATACATAATATTAGTATGTATTTGGTATTCTTTTGAATATTACTAATTATGAAAGAGCATTGTCACGACGAAACGGCTGAACGGATCTTAATGAAATTTCACATGAAAATAGATTGCATCACTAGAATATAGGCTATCTTTTACCTAAAACAAAGCAAAGTTGTTGGCAACAGACTAATGTATAATACTTTTACAAAGTCTCTATCTAATCTTTTCTTCGAATCTGCAACTATGACGCTAGTGAATATAAATGCATACGGAAGTTCTAAAAGCCATTTAAAATATTCAAGTACCACAATCGAGATAAGAACAAATTCAGTGATTCAAATCAACAAAGGTTGTAGATGTCCTGTAATATTGTTGCATGCTGATTATACATTGGGGTAAAGGGAAGCCCAGAGCAATGAGCAACTGTGTATAAAATATTTAAAATTATTGGAATTATGTACACTGTTAATATTTTTCTTTAATAACCCTGAACAATTAACTCATTACGATAGATTCACATACTGAAGTAAGCTTTACAATAGGTACTAAATAACTGTATTTTGTTCATGTAATATAAAAACTTCAAGACTCATACTTACACGTAGTACGTGTATTTGGGATGGATGGACATTGTTAAACGACACAGTTGCAATACTAAAAGCACGGTAATATCGGAACAGTGGTGATGAGGATGACATCAGTCCCGTTTTCGTTACATGAACGAATGCAAGGTGCTCCCTATTACTTCTCCGATATTAACTCGTGTGTGTCCATACGCTTCAGTAACCATTTACCATCAGATGGACCGAGTGCTTCATTGCCACAATATTGGTATAAAAAAAATTCTGTACACTCGTCGATTTTCCCCTCATCACCACTGCTCCAATATTGCATCTGATTTTAGTGTCGTGTGTAAGTCGTTTTATAGACGAAGATGCAGTTGAAATTACTATCCTACATTATAATGTTGGTACCACTGTTCCCGCAGAGAAATTAATCGTGTAATCGTGACTACCAACCGTTTAATATTGCATAGGTATTATCCTGCCCAGATATAATCTTATAGTTTTGTATTCAAAAGCGTCTTTATCGGCACTATAAAGAACAAACGTTTGTGACGGAAATTATAATTGTTACTTGACACCTTCATTAATTATAATGAGCCCTTTGTTACGAATAGGTGTTATGAATAATAATTTTGACTATTATTGAGATCGAGGATAACCTTAAGGCCCAATTCTTAAGGTACTCTGACTTATAAGTGTAACTTGTTCTATTCTTAACACGTTTTTGTATTATTAAATCTAACAGTTTACGATCGCTTTGCCCCGATTGATTTCTTTCTGATTATATCAATTATCGTAAATTATTTCTTATGGAATGAGTACAGGTAAGTATCAATAATATTAGAAACTATTGCTCATTAATAGACCATGTTCACTGATTAAGATAAGTCTTTTATAATTATATATATATATATATATACAGAGATTACTTTAATCTTTTTTTAAGTTATTTACTTAAATGAAAATATATTTATCGAATAATTCAATTTATAAACCATTAGCACAGGCAGGGCAGGATCCATATTAATCCATGACAAAAACACATCCAATCCACTGGTAAAGGAACAATACCTTTTACCCAATATTTACATCAATGGATAACGCACAAAATTGTATCAATGTTTATTTCTGACATGTTATAAAGCATGCGCAGTAACTGTTGACAGAATTTATGTTGTTAGAATTAACTACATGTTATTGTTTCAGGTTATTCGCCGCATACTTACAAGACACTAGGATAAACGCACAATTAACGAATACAGAAGTCGGACGATCGGTAAGTCTGAGTTTTACTGAGATATCATCATCATTTCAACCCGGAAAATTTCCACTGCTGAAAAAAATGGGGCTCCTCCAAAAATCTCAAGGACGATTGGTTCTGCGCTGCTCGCAACCAATGCTTTCCAGTGATCTTGGCCAGATCCTCGGCCCACGTTGTACCCAGATAGACTTTGTACAAAGACGTCTGCGTGGGTATTACAATATTATATTGTCTGTAGTATTATGTCTTACCAATTTCTGGCGCCAAGCAGCTTTCTTTGTAAGCTGTTTCAGTTTGTTGATGAAAACTGGTGAGGTAAAAATAGTTGAGATGTGATAGTAATGAGATACCTACAGAGGCATAGCATCTTGGCACTCTGTAATGGCAACGCATGAAGGGTATCATTTGTCATAACTATTTTAAATTCCGGCGACTCTTCAACTTTTTGGCATTTCGGGATATAATGTTATGTATTATTTAATAGTTATTTTTGTGTCTAACGCCCAATTTAAATTATTATTTCCAAACATAAGTAGAATCTTAGATTTTACAAATGTAAAAATGTGTATTCAGTAGTTTGTATTATATTTATAATACAAACTACTGAATAGCATAAAAATAAAAAAGCAGTTCGTATGTACCAACCAAGAAGCAGTCCCTACGTCACAAAAGCCTATAAAGAGTTTTAATTATAAATTTTCTTGTTTCTAAATTTACTTGTTTAGACTATGCGCCAACGTGTGTCATGTGAGTTTGCTCTTTTATCATATTAAATATCGTTCGTTCGTATCTATGTACCTGTTTTGTGGTGTGTATTCACATTAAATCATAAATACGAGTACAACTTGGTAAATATTACTGGTGTTTTCGTCTGCTTTTTTGAGACAAATCTACATATACAATATTATCACACCTAATTTCAGTATAAAATTTGTTCAGTCAGTAAAGACAAGAAAAACTTTAATGCTTTTATGTTTACACTATTATATAGTACCTACGGATTTTTAAAGATCCAGCAACGCAGTTCCTTGTCTTTTAGAATGAATCTGCAATCTGCAAAGCGATAGAATCAGAAATAATACATTAATAATAATAATATTAAGTTTACGTTTGAATAAAAATTATTCTTACTCTATTTTATTAGTTATAGAACCTAGTCCGTTATTGGAGACCATTTGAACTATGCCAATTAATAACATGGAAACAAGCTCGCCTAGAATGAAGACTTCAATATAAAGCAATTTGACTACAATTGATATTTTATAGTTCAAGCAGGAATAATTCAACCACTAGATTCAATGGCCGTCCAATTTCTTTATGATTGAAAAGTCCATTCTGTTCATTTAAAATAGATGGCTATTAGGTATAAACAAATCGCTATTTGATCGACCGCCAACAACTGGGCATATTGGCTATACTTATTGATACTTACGCATTGTACTACATATGTATATGTGTATATATGTATAAACTCCACTACCGCTGAAGCCATATATGCTCTATCAGTAAGATAGCACATAATTGCAGCTGATATTTTGCGACATCTACCATCTTCATTATCCTTTTTTGTTTTACTAACGATTGCTTTTATATTATTTAATATTTTTTGTTCTCGTATTAAGTGAATTATGGTGCTTCTTAGAGCTCGAAAATTACGGATTAAGGGAGCATGAGACGTTAGTTATCCAGAATCGTAATGCAGGGTACTACAGTCCATTGTGGTTAGTGGTATATATGGACGATGGTATTATTTTTATATCGCTGTTTTTATGTCAGATTAAAATTTATACATATAAACCGTTGTTACTGTTTTTTATTATTATTATATAGTTGTAGTTTTCCCGCTCCAGTAACAATTGTTGCTATATATGTACATTCAAGGTAATAAATTGTTTTTATATTAAATTCAGGTGCCTCGAACGACGCAAGCGGTACGAACGAATATAACAATGTTCGCATGGAGCTCGTGGGGATCCTGGAGTCCTTGCTCCAGAAGTTGCGGTGGCGGAGTAGCAGTCCAGGAACGTCAGTGCTTACCAAGAGATCCTGCAAGGTACGTTTAAAAGGAAACTATTATTTTACTGTATTGATAACATTTCACCCGCCAGGTAGCCTGCTCTGGTTATAGTGTTTAGTAAAATTACAGGATAAGAAGTATGACATCTTAGTCCTCGGGAATGCCAGTGCATGAGTGATATAGCGGGTGTCATATGATAACATGATGTCCGTATATATTAATTATAATTATTACGGCGATAATTGCCGCTTACTATCAGGCGGGACGTCAGCTTATATTTACCACTCTTTTCTTTATAAGGTGTATTTCGATTTGAATGCATAATGAAATATGGTAAAATTCAGAGTACGATAAAATTATATGATACAGAAGAATAGTAAGGTATGAGAAGTACTAAGGGTATAACATGATAAATGCAAATATATTTGTGACGGTGTGCCATTTGAAATACGTAAAAAGTTATTTGTATTCCATTATTAAAATATCATACATTCAACAGTACATTCTCATCACAACACAGTATCAGTTTCATTTTCCCACGGACATAAATGCATACTCTATAAAACAAATGCGTCTGTTCAGCACAAAGCAATACAGTATAATATGTTATGCCACATTTATCTAATCGATGTAAATGAGAGTGCAGTTCCTTGAAGATGACGCGATATAAATCGCACGCGACCAACGACGCTGCGACACTAATTGCCCTACTATTGCGACCAGATGGGCTTCCGTTAATTTGTCGCAAATATGTATATAGATAGGCCTGCGCGGTAAGGCTATTTAATAATTGTCTAACATTAATATTACTAGTGGTAACCACACGCTTGTTACAAGCATTAATTTTCAGTTTTCAAGAACTGTCAAGAAATTACATTGTTATTCTATAAATATTGAATAATAAGAAAATGTACAAAGTAGTTGATCTTATGTACTTACATATATATGTTTCGCATATATATGTACACCTTTGTAAATATATATTTAAAACATATATATGGAAGTACCACATCACACACATATATGTGTTCTTTATTATTCTTATAGATTTTTTTAATAATATTTCTAGACAAACGCGCCAGCGCTATCGACAGCGCCATCCAGTCTTAAATTAAACAGATTATGGGTACTAGATAACTGATACAAATTTATATAAGAAGAAAACACTCAGGCTGATACAAACAATTGTACCTATTCATAAATTCAAATGTGTGTGCAGTGTGACGAATCGAACCCGCGACCATCGGATGTAAGCCGATGTGCTAAACCGCTAGACCACCGAGGCCGTCAATAGATATTATAAAACTTAATGATAATTTTGGCAACTTGCTATTTTTTATTCTGTGGTGGAGTATTGTTTCGCGAGCATACATGTCAATTTAGCGAGCATTCATATTTGGTTGTGGGTATAATATGGGTTGTTTACTGGGGATTCTTATGACCTGGGTATTGCAGATTTATCATTATTATATTTACCTCATATTGTATATAATACTCAATCGCTCTTTGCATAAAATAAAGCCTATGTATTAAAAGTATCCTTTTGTTTGTATATATGTAGGTGAAAAGTTCCTGCAATTCCGTACTCTATTTTCTACGTAATGCGTTCACATATACTTGGCAAATTAATTAAATTATAGAAAGTGTTGGTTTGGCTTCTGTTTCTTTAATAGACAACAACAACAACAACAACGACAACCTTATTTCTCCTTTTTTTCAATATCTAAAATATACGAACAATAGCCTGTTACAATTTTATTATATGTATAGATAGATGTCATTAAAACGTGTTTGGAACAGATTATTCATTCACTTTCATTGGAATCGTATCCACCTACATCCTATGTAGTAGTATTTCTTATCAATAAAATGGACAGTGAAGTCATTACCACGATATTATACAATCAGAACACGATCTAAAAAGTCCTATATTAGCCAATAACATTTAGAAAACCGATAACAATCGTGATAAAATTGAAATAAGCACCTCACTATTCTAATTTCTCGACAATTTAAAAACCAAATTCGTGTTTGACACGGGAAAACAAACAAGCAAACACGTGAGGAAGATTAATGAACGTGTTTCTGTATTTTTTGTTTCGTCTATTGTTCGTGCGGTATTGTCTTAATTGTTTCATTATAGGGCCATATATACGAGCTATTAAGATAAGAAGCCTTGTCCTTCGGATTCATATATCGTCAACCTTTTATCAGTTCAAAATAGCTTAAATTATAATTAAAAATTACTATGTGTCTACGACTTATTAATAAATAATAGAATCATGTGTTAGTATTTAAAATGTTTTTATTTGCGTAATAATAAGAAAATTTAAACCTAAAGAAGTTTTATAATAAAACAGTACTTATTCATGTCAGTAGGTACATAAAAAAAATACTCGCAATATTTTGTAAATAAAGTTATATTAGCAGTTATAAAAGTTTAGCACGATAAAATGTTTAGTAGCCCTGAGCTCGCGCAGACAGGCGCGGGCGCACCATTGATCATAGATCACAATGATATCTAATGATACGGCACGTGATCGATAAAGGGACGGCTTGCCCACCGCAGGAGAACTTTCGATCAGAAGAACTATACTTGGAAACCTTCGATCAATTGAGACGTAAAAGTACGTTGTTGTTCCTATTTATAACATCTTGATATTGTCCAGTTCAGTACTTCAGTACTCGAAAAAGAGTAGAGAGATCACAGATAATTTTTATATGATAACTTTAACATTAAATTCAATTTTTTTTATATACTTAGTGAATAGAATCATGGCAATACTAGCTGTTTACTGCGATTTCGTATAAGAACGACAGGATCACCCAATATCAATTCCGTAGATAATTCTGACCAAACCACATTTAGAAAGTGCATAATGTTTCTATATATTGTTCTTACAACATATGTATACAGAAATAAGCTATAAACAATTTTAGGCACTTAGTTAAGTAATATTAGGGACTAGTGCACAATGAGAGAATAAGCATGTAGTCAGTTAGCTTATTGTAGCGAGAACACAAATTAACCACTACGTTTACTATGGGATAACCGTGTGGAGGTCGACCTGATTTAGTAGGTATATTACGAGTAATAGGGCAGTAGTCCACACTACTACTAGTGCTATTACACAGAAAGACCCTTCTCCCTAATTCTATATTCTGTAGACGGCGAAATAATCACCTCATTGTGAGCATTAAAAAAGAAATAAAATAAAAAGTAAAAATAGTCAATAATAATCCGAGATGACGAAATCTTCAAAAGTAAAGACAGTTAGTTACCTTCACTGATTGGACATGAGAATATCATGGGCTCATTCACCACAATCGTTACATAGTTCCATTACAATCCAATGCACCAACTTTCATATTTTCCTATGTCGATATATAATTTACAATGAAACTAACAAAACTCTATTTAATGCAGTCTTCATTTAGAAATATCATCCTAAATAAATATATGTAAAGGATTAGATATAATAACATACAGATGTGACGTGTAAGTAGGTATATCAAAATAAGAATAACAGCGCAAAATAATAAAAACTTTCATAATATTGTATACAATAGTCGCCATACAAAGATTTATAAAGCAAAATTGAAAGAGTGAGTTGGTACTGTACCCACGGACGATTGAGATATACACGAAAAACTATGAGGGTTTAGAAGAGTGCTAACAATCAATAGTACAGACCAAGAAATTATACATTTTAGTCAGACCCTCTGGTGTCCTAGGATTTTAAAGTTTTGGGCAATATCATCAATAAACGTAAGAATTAACTAAACAAACTAAACTCAATAAAATTTGTAAGTCTATCTCTTACATGTTATTGTTTTAACTTTTTCTTTATTTACCCTGGGATTACGTTTCCTCAAGAAACAGTTAATAATCCCTAAATATTGATTGTTTCCGTCTAATGTACGTTTACAGACCGATTTCGCCACGAGTCAAAGGCTAAATACATCAAACTGACCCCGTACGCCCTTTTTGCGTTCAACATGTCGAATTAAGGTAATATTGAAAGTTCCGACATATAGGTACAGTCACAAACAAAATATTCTACATATTTACAAAAACTAATTGGTCTAATATAATATACTATGTATTAAGTATAAGCCACAAGCCACAAGAAACCGACCTCAATCATACTGTTAAGTATAACAAAAAAAAAACTGGTTAAATATTGATCAAACTATATTTATATGTTTTCTTATCGTACTAAAAAGTTCTAATATTAATAGAAAGAAAGTTTTTGCCTCCAATTAATTCACTATTTATTTAATTTTTCTTCAAGTGTGAATGAAAGACGACTGAATCATAATTAGTGAAGGTATACAACGTAATTACACACCAAATGCAGTTGTATTGAAACAACCAGAAGATGTTTTAGACTGCGGCTTATTAGTCTGTAAAAGTCTGAGTTGTTGCAACAAGTGATTTTTAACAGCAATTCTGATTGACGCACAATAATTCGAGACCCTTTCGCTAATAGTCGATTGTTATCGATTTGTTTACATGATTATCGAGTTCTCGGCTCGTGTGAACTAAACACAAGTGCCGAGTCAGCGTGCATCATTACAAATCGAAAGTAGAATGCCATGTTAACAAACGGGCAACTCAGATTGCACATTCCATAATGAGATTGACAACGAAATGCTGTGAGTACAGTCATAAACATAAAAACCCGTACACAAACAATGAAATATAATTTATATATAATACCGTCCCACAATGAAAACCGGCAGATATAAGGAATATCAAGGAGTAAGTGCTGAAAAAATCAATTTAGAATTATCGAACTAAAACTCTAAAGTCACAGTCAATTAATTTAGAATTTAAAGTCAATTTGATATTTAATTTTTATGCACGTTAAATATTTTAAACACTATCCCTACCGTGTACTTCAGCGTAATACTTCAGTTGAGAAGAAGTATGTTTTTTTTATTTTTGTCTATAACGTCTTTTAAAAAACAGTTATTTTTATCAAGCTATTGTTGTTTCAGGTCGTATTTAATTTTAATCATTTAAATTATAAAATCTTTTACCCTTTACTATAATAACGTCATTATTATTGCTTATTATTTCAAACATGTCTAATAACTAACAAATTATTTTCAATTTGTTGCAACAGTAATATAACGAGCAAATAATATGTTTCCTATATAATTTTACGATTACTGAAATGAAATTTAATGATACTTTAATTTTGTACTATAATTCGTGTTCCTTCCAAAACAAAGTTACATCAGCAATTGTGTCACTAATTTCCAAGTAAATCTTTTTGTTAGACACATAACTAAAAGTACAATGCTGCTAATTTAATTTAGAATCTTCACATTTCTAAAAATAATTATAAAGTCTAAGTAGACTAATTCTTTTAAAGAAACAACCTAAATTCTATTTTAATTGTATGTATGTATAACTTAAATTTTTACATTTATTTCAGTATTTTAATAAAATCCCTATTACTATTTATTATTATAGTTCTTAAAATAATTTACAATTAATTTTTATTATTTAATTGTTTATATCTACAGTCATATTGTTAATGAGAAATTGTATCTATCTGTTTGTTACCTTTCTCGATTATTGCATTATATTACTAATATTTGTAAAAAAACTGATGAATTCACACGTACCACCTAGTTATATATATGGATAAGCCATATTTTGGAATATTACTAAATCGGTGCATTGCATGAAACCACTTATGGGCACAAGAAATATTTTCATTTCAACTGCATAAATGTATGATGTAACTGTTAATGAAAAATCAGAATCCCTGCGAGAATGTGTAACTCATTTGGGATTAAGTACAGGGAACAATGACAGAACAATGTGTATCATCATCGAGAGAGTATCAATATCGAAAGCAATTATTTGTAGGCGTATTATAAGGCGCTGTAATAGTGATTTCATAATTTTAATTACTAGACAAAAGTTGAGTGTGGCGCCCTGCCGCGGCCTCTCTATGAACTAATGATGTACTGAAACAATGCTGTTTCATTATACGAGTATAGACTAGATTCACTCATCCATACCTTTATGGACATACCTACATAACTATAGACAAAGTACGTATTCTGCTGCGTAGTGTACAGCCACAGTAAATTGATAAACAAGTCGAAACTTTGATTAAGATTTGTTCAGCATTTTAATATTAAAAGGTATCAAATAGACGGACAGACAGATAAACTTTCGTATTTATAATGTTAGTAGGAAATGGAAATATAGATTTGAGAGCTGCTGTCTTATCGTTGGTATTCACCTACCTTTAATTTTGGGATCATAGCCATGGCTGAGACCCTGGAAGATCTTAGCAAAATGCTTCGAGACCTCAATAGACTCTCACAAGGAGTAGGTCTTAAGATGAACATGGACAAGACGAAAATCATATCAAACCCCCATGTCGTACCTGCTCCCGTAAAAATCGGAAATTTTACACTCGAAATTGTTGATCACTACGTATACTTAGGACAAGCTAACCAGTTAGGTAGGTCCAATTTCGAGAAAGAGGTCAATCGTCGAATCCAACTCGGATGGGCAGCGATCAGGAAGCTCCGATATATCTTTTCGTCCAAATTTCCGCAGTGTCTCAAGACGAAGATTTACGACCAATGTGTGTTGCCAGTAATGACTTACGGCACAAAGACGTGGTCGCTAACTATGGGCCTCATGAACAAGCTCAGAGTCACTCAGAGGGCAATGGAGAGGGCTATGCTCGGAGTTTCTCTGCGTGATCGAATCAGAAATGAGGAGATCCGCAGAAGACCCAGAGTGACCGCCATAGCCCGAAGAATTGCGACTCTGAAGTGGCAATGGGCAAGGCACATAGCTCGTAGGACAGATGACCGTTGGGGCAATAAAGTCCTCGAGTGGCGACCACGGACTGGAAGACACAGCGTGGGAAGGCCTCCAGCACGGTGGACCGATGATTTGGTCAAGATCGCTGGAAGGCATTGGATGCGAGCAGCGCAGGACCGATCGTTGTGGAGATTTTTGGGGGACTAAACACAACACAACGATCGGTCTATGTCCAGCAGTGGACGTCTTCCAGGCTGGGATAATGATGATGAATTTTGGATTTTTTTTAATTATCCATATGTAGTATATTTAAAATATATTATCTTAAATCCATACAACTTTTTCGAATACCTTTCGCGATTTTCACAAAACTATTAATTTTAAATAAGAAAGCATCGATGACACTACTATCTAACTATAAATACTGTGAAATAAATATAAACTACACGAAGCTATGAGATGAAATGTGTTGTAAAATGTATATAACATTCGGCTAGGCTCATATAAATCGATAGTCTTAGTTCAATATGGGGCAATGAATGGTTGAAATTATGCCGAAGCCATAATTGAATCAATCAAATTGATACGCGTACTTCGAAAAAGGCGCATCATATATTTACTTCATTTACTAATTGTAGAATTTGTATGGGTTTAATAATATATTTTTAGGAATACCAACGATAAGAGTGCATCTTAGATCTATACTTCCATTCTCTACTAATATTATAAATACGGAAGTTTATCCTGTCCTGTCCATGTACCTTTCAAAATTAAAAAGCTAAAACATTAATAAGTATATTTTGCGTAAATAGAGATTATATTACGAGGACTGAAATAGTGTATATTTTATCGTAAATAGCTGAGAAGTCGCGGGTAACAATTATCTTATGTATGTACCTATAAATTAACAATAATATTATAATTATATTATTTTATATAAATTATCTTCTATACAAACAACAATGAATTGCGGAATGTATGAAGTGCATAACTTAAGAAAAATAGTATTGAAGCAAATGGATGTAGCATGCTTGCCTAGTTGATTATTGTTCTTTATTGTGCTTGTAATGATTATGCCAAGAAATCAGTACGTATATATACAGAAATAAAAAAAAATAGAGAAAAATTCTCATATAAAATATATTAATAGTATTGATAGAATAACAGTTAGTTGTTCAATTTCTAACATTGTTTTAGCTATTACATGTTTTCGTACCATACTGTAATGTAATGGATATGCTCCCTTTAGTTAGGTATGAATAAATGAGCACAATCTTAGATATTGTAAATATACTATGGTAATATTTTTAACCCATAAAGAGAGGTGTTATAACTTTGACATTTATATGTGAGTCCTCTGAGTCTGTCTGTGCCATCGTAGCTACTAAACACACGGACCGATTTTAAAGCTATGATATTGATATGGTTCTTAGCTATAATTTTAAGTTGTTTCAAAGACTTTAAGTAAGCTACGGATCAGTGAGAAATTTAAATGCACGACACGTGTGAATGTACTAAGTTATAAACGCAAGAGGTCACAGCACAATGTGCTCATAACCCGGAACATCAAGAGCCAATCAGTCGGTCCTACCGTTCAGATGAATGCACTGGTGGCAGTGAAATCAGACATGTAACCGCATCCCCGCATATGCAGCGGTGTGTTCTCAATGAGTTATTATTGTGGGAACTATGGTAGTACAAGACTCAGTTAATTTTCTATTAAATATGGAAATATATTGAACACCTTAGACACAAATTGTAGGCCTAAGTAGACGTATTTATGATAATGTGCGTAGTGAAGTTTATTGTCGACTCTATCTCTCTCTTTAGACATTAACGTTTGAACTTCATACTTAAAATCCAATACAATCATACATATGAGATATTTACAATGCAAAACAAATAGTCTAGCCTCTGTCCCGTATGTAAAGATGAAATATTATTATCATATTGAGATTTACAATTTAGGATATGTCTAATTAAAATTTATCGAATTAGGTGTTCTTTTATGAAAGTCCACCACAGTACGTTAAACAAAATAATATAAATTCCTTAGATTTATATTATTTTGTTTAATTACGATACCATTATCAAGTGTAAAAGCACAATGTCGTAGTCGCCGAACGGCAATAAATACTAAACTACCAAGTTACATCCGAACTCCATTCATTGCCTGATGATGCCTCATTCAGAGGCGAAAACATATATCTCAATATGCTTTTAGATCCAATAATTTGATCACTAATAGAGAAGATCATAACGCTTTGTTGTAGTTTTAGTTTATTTGTGTAGAGGTAAAATGAAAACTATAGAAGAAGACTTAGACTACGGAGATATATTGGGAAAACTATTGATAAGAACAGATTAAAGTATATAAAAGAATGTACAATCAAAGAACTATAAATTTAAGAATAAATATAGAATAAAAAATACTTTTCAGATTAGGCAGATACAACAGCTTTCAATAGCAGTGGTCAGGTTTCCGCACTGAATATTTATGAATTCACACATGCTAATGGCAGCGGAAATAATATAAATCCATTATGTAACTATTTTTCAATGGCATTTATTGAACGAATTGCTTTACAATTGTGCTATTTTAATGTATATATTTTTTTTAACATTTTTATATCAAAATTATGTATTATTTCTGTTACAGACTGCGTCGTAGCAGAAAGAGAAGGAAATTATCAAAGAGCACAGAACGAACGAGAAGAGAGCAGACTGTGTCAGTGATGGCCAGTCCAGACCCAGACTGTCCTGGGCTTGGGCGGCGTTATCACGAATGTAACACTGCGGTAAACATTAATTACAGTATTAAATAATCATTAATTATTAAGTATAGAATGCAGTAGAATAATGATAGTGGTTATTAAACATTTTTGAAAACTACTTTTTACACATTATCGAAAAAGATAAGTAAATAAATAATCGCTTTATATAAAATGGTACTTAACCGTCAGTTAATGATATAATAATGATTTTATCATCTTTATTGCTTATAAGAAAAGATATAAGAAAAGTACTGATGTACTGAAATCTCAAAAACAAGGTCTCTGCTAGCTTAGGCGACAACCATTTTCTAATGAGTTAATCCTTTCAAAAAATCTTAGTCCAAACATCTTTTCAATTGTCTTTAAAATGTCAAAGTATATAACGTATATAATAATATTTTCACCTGTTACCCACTCACTAATAGCTGTGCCACACTGTTAACTTGACTGGTAGAGATCTCTTTTAGAGATAAGTCCACTTTTGCCCACAAATATATAATTAAGTGAGTGCAATAAAGAATATATAAATGTTTTTTAATATATTGGCTAATTACGAAAACATTTTAAATGTTCCATTTAAATTGTAATAGTTTATCTTTTATAGTTCTACTACCAAAAAAATGCTAATATTGAATTCGCTTTTTTTATACAATTATGGAAATTTTATTTTTATCGTCCATCCCTATCTGTAAATTAGGCTTAAGATACCTAACTTCTTCTTCTAATAATTTATTTTATGTCAAAAATGTTGTTTTATTACAGCCTTGTGCGGGTCCTCCGCGTGATTCCCGGGCCGTGCAGTGCGCGGTGTATGACCGCAGACCGTTTCGCGGCCGGTTCTATACGTGGGTGCCTTACGTTGATGGTAAGTGTTACTGATGATTCTTACTTATTAATTCGGAATCTAGTCTTGGCACTATTTAAACATTATTAAGAAATCCAATTATTCACTAAATGATTTTTTAAATGACAAAGGTGCATGGCAATAATTGTTAATGTACGGGATTTACAATTTAATGATAAACATAAATTATGTTATCTGTGACATAGACAACCAAATAAGCAAATAAAATAAAATTATTTAATGTAAAACAACTGTTGAGCCAGTTCTTATTCAGAACTGGAGTGTAGGGAAACAAAATATAAAATATTGTACGATTTAGCCTCTTATAAAGAATCACATGAGGCTAAAACGTACGTTTTACATGAACAAATTATTTAAATTTGAATTAGGTGGCTACCATGTTTTATGTGAAAAATATACTAAACAAGCTTTTTAACCTTTTGCTGCTATAAAAAATATTTCATTACTTTAAACTGAACTGCATCTGAATGTAGTATCTATATGATTTATTATCGTTTCAGGGAATGCACCATGCACCTTAAACTGCCGACCACGGGGACAACACTTCTATGCATCATTGGCACTCGTGGAAGACGGTACTCCCTGCACGAAACCTGGTTTCCGAGCCATATGCGTGCAAGGTACATGCAAGGTAAGTCAAATGTTAGTTAATACCTAATTACATTGTTATAAAGGAAGAAGTCACTAATTCCGTACACATATGTGAATTGTGAAAAAACATTCTTTAACAGCGTAAATATGCACGTATCTACTTAATAACGATATTCTTAAAAGTATCATATTAATGTAATAATTGTTACCAATGCGAGGATAATAAAAAACACTTATTACAGTTTTATTTCATTTTAATATACAGCGCCATCTATTGGCGAGTAGAAATATCGCGATAACTCGCTACCGAATTGTACTTAAGGTAGTGAAACTAAATTGTTTTAGTTACGTATTTTATTTGAATTAGATATCAACGTAATTAATATATATTGAAAATAAGAATACTCTTTGGAATAATAAATAACATTTTAAAAACATCTAAGTTGATACAAATAGGTGTTTACCTAGTGTAGATATTAATAGATATATATAAAACATTAATATAATAGACATATATAAAATTGATAGATAGTTATCTGTGTGACAGTAATCCCGTTTATAAAAATATGTGGGACTTTATTTCAATTTCTGTATACTTATAACTTGGTCTTTATTTTTTTTTTTACAATCACGCAATTAATTGTTGTTTATATTTGAAATGTCTTAATATAATACAGGTCTGTGTTTAAATGATTCCAATAAGTATTTATACATATATATGGGTGCTTTATTTATTATGAACTCGCCTTTGACTCGTTGAGACGGGATAACAAAGAAGTAGTTGGCTCAAACTGGACACTAGTAGCACACAACAGAGACAAATGGGTATATTTGCAGAAGGCCTTTATCCCATGTATGGTTCTTGCTGACAAGTAAATAAATAAATAGTTTAACAATACCGAATACATATAGTAAAAAATAAGTAATAAAAACTAACAAGTAGAGACAAAAAAATATGTAATTGTAATTTACTGACACTATAACTTTGTATAGAAGCAAGAAATAAAAAGGCTTTTTATTTTTATTTATTAATGTGTAAACCTATTTATAAGTTACTCGCTGATCACGCTACATATCTATGTAATAAATAGTCGATTTGTTTCCTAGACACTGTCGGAGTAATCCGCCTGAGGGACTGATCCATCACGGCTAACCTAGCTCATAATCTAACGTACTGGTCCTAACATAATAACACATAATATCCATTCACATAGAATTTATCAGTAGTCTACAATAAAAACATATTTATACGTTTTTATGTTTTATACATCTCAAAATTATACTTAAAGACTCGTAAATAAAATTCACATTACTTTCAATTTTCTTTTTTTTCGTACAGAAAATACCTAGTAAATTTTATTTGAATATAAAACCTGTTATATCTATATATATATATATATATATATATATATATATATATATATATATAATCCGGGCTTTACGAATTTATTTCTTAATTTGAAAGAAAACTGATAGATCACTGTAATTAAACAACCCCAATGAGTTCCTTGGGAATTTTATTGTTTATATAGTGATAATTACAACATGTAACACCATTAAAGTTACATAAAATAAATTTTACCGTCAATACAAAAAAATCTTACTTACTATGTTTCACTTTGATATAGGTAATATTATTATTCCGAAATAGTAATGCCCGAGTATACGGTCATGGCGTATTATGAAATATCCAGTGCTGTTCCATCAGGTAGTTTACCACTCTAATGTTGTATTAAAAATCTTTACTTTTTTAGAACACTATAGGTATATATTTTATTTTGGATGGAAACAACAATACTCAACACACTTATCGGTAGAAATTAGAAATCACGCTAAAGTTAACTCACTGAATCATAAATAGTACATTATTATTGTGAGATAGGACTTTTGCAGGCTGTCAAAATTACTTTACGCATTTTAAAGAACAGTATGACAATATTCTAATTATAAATGGATTGAAATGAAATATTCGTACTGAAAACTTTTAAATTTCACGCGCCAATCCATTGCGCCGTGCAATTACTTCTATGATTTGATCCTGCCATGCGTATTTTATTTTTTTAGTAAAAATAGAAGTTTAGAATTAAAAATTTAACTATTTGAGGCAGTTGCTCTTAAATCAATGTATATATAATTAATAATTAGTAATTCAAGTAAATATCTTTAGAGTTATTAAAAACTATATATACATTATATGTATATTGGGCAATAACAATAATATTATGCAAGTTTGAATTAAATAAAGTTTTATTGTAATCGAACAGGTATAGGCATATTTCCGATATCACGGACCACACTTGACCACGGCCGGCGGCTCTAACGGTCTGAGGGCAATGCTATTGTTCTGACAGTAATTGTTGTGGATTGCCCGCTGATCCAATGCACCAGAGTAATATGACCTTCCTCATTCCCTTTTCCGTAAAGATATACGGCACATCGGAGACAATATTGCAATAGGTGGCGGTACAGACAATTTGTTAGTATCTAAAATGCACAATGCATTACTGTGGCACGTTTCTATTTGGTTTTGTTTAGACTCATTGTGAGTCAGAATATAGTCTAATTCTAGATAAAAAATGAATAATTAAGATATGTTTGTTGCATTAATTATTATAAAATGTAGACTTAAATTTAACTAATTTGAATTTATGTCTTGAAAGTATAAATTTTCAACCAATTAAACTACCCATAATTTTTTCTTTGATTCTTTTCCTTACATTTACCTTTCTTGACATCTGATCCATTACTCAAATAAAACTTATAGAATGAAAATGAAGTCACATTAGTTTGCTCATTGTGAGCAATTCATAAATAATTATCCACAGCAATTTCTAGGGCATAACTATGAATGCGATTCGACTCTACATGTACTCATACAGTAGTATTATAATCAAATTCAAATTAAAAAATATTTTTATATTTCATGTAGAACATTTTAGCCGCGTATGAACGTAAAATTTTTGTTTTATAATATTTTCCCTACCGCACTACATAATATACAACCAATAACGGGATCAATAATTTAACTCTTTCACAATCTTTTCCCCCTGTAAACAATATTTAATAATTTTCTACTCAAGCTACTTTTACTTCACTGAAATTTAAAAATCGTGTTCACGCATATCGCTCATATTTTTAGAACACTTAGACGATGGCGTACTGACTTCTTCCACCTGATGTGAAACAATCTTGCAAAGTGGTGCCTGACGATCGTAACAATTATACTAAACGTCGATCAATCCGCGTTTTCGTAAATGTACCTCTTGTTTCTTGTTTCGTTTGCTTCAATGTATTGTCAGAATTTAAAAAACATGTAGCATACCACTTTACTTCCGCATGGTCACAAGATACAAACATTGGTATTCATGAATACGATCGTTTGTATATATGTATGGGATTTATATATTTTCTAGTTGCTTAGGACCCATAGTGTAATATAGCTTAGTTTGGGCACATATAAGACAATATTTATTGACTTAGGTACTTTTAGGTACACTATTTTATGTTGTTGTTGTACATATATCTGTGGATAATTATATTCATTGATAATATAATTAATAACACTTGCTTGTATTGTGTGCATACATTTATAGAGGAAGACTGTTAAATATTTCAATAAACACATGAAAAGTGTTTTCCAAATCATGTTTCCGATACGTTCCACAGACTATCAAAAGATTTGTAATCTGACAGATTTGACATCATCGATCAACTATTGAATGTTTATAGCCGCCTAAAAGTGCTTTGAGTCACTGCGTAAAGTGCCCTAAAGCCATTACACGATATCTACTACGAATAAGCAATCAAGATACAGTAATGCAAATAGGATTGACAGTAATCAAAGGGCTTGCTTGATCAAGTGCAATAAATCTTGTTTGTTAACTGTGACAATCACAGTGATGACGATATAGGTAAATATTCAAATTTAGAACTATACTTTAGTAATAGTGCCAACTTTAGTAGAAGTAATATTTTATTCACGCCATAAGTGAAAAGGCAAAGGTACAAAATCATACAGACTAATCGCCTTTAACAATTCTGAATTCATCAAGTGCAGTCAACATTCTCTTTAATTAATTATATTTTAGATTTATTTTTGAAGATGAAAATAATTTTGACATGTTTTATAATTCTCCAATGACGTATTGGTCGAAAGTTCCTTAATATAAAATAAAATAGAGCTGTAGTGAGAAGTTGTCTGCATAGGTACCTTAGTCTCACATATTTCAGGCGCCATGAGGTTTGCTTTGCAAGTTGTATTTAGGTTAAAGAATGAAGATATTGCAATGTAATTTCAGGATATTGAGGAATAAATAACATCTTAGTTCTCCGGAATGGCAACGTATGAATGGTATCACGGGTGTCACATAATAACATGATATCCATTGTGTTGTTCGTATATATATGATGGTTACTCCATTTCATCAGGTGAGCCATTAGTTTGATTGCCATTGTAATTACATAAAACATAGAATTACATGTAAAATTAATATTAAGTAATATGCGAAAGTTTAGTTTAATATAGCTTTATTATATTGTTTATAATCTTAATAATATTATAAACTCGAAAGTTTGTAAGTATGGATGTTTGTTACTCTTTCACGCAAAAACTACTGAACGAATTTTGATGACAATTTAAAGTAATAGCTTATTCATCGGAATAACACCTAGTTATATTTTTTATTAAAATTTAACGCGCGTGAATCCGCGGACACAGCTGGTACATAATAAAATTGATTGCGATAATATTGTATGGTATAAGAAAGTTCAGAATGCGCTACATACTATACATTCAACTTTCTTCGCCCAGCTGTAACTAAGATGGCTTATATATTAAATAGAAAAATTGAAGTCGGTATACCATGTAGACAACTATAGGATTCGACATCAGTGTTTTAATTCAAACTATTATTATTATTATATTGTGATCTAGTATTAACCCTACACCATCTACACAACACAAAGAAAAACTTTATGTGTCAATTTATATTTTTGACTGACTCTGTACTGAAAAATACACCGATATAAACAAAAAAAAAA